GTCAGTGCATTATTGCTGATATATGCATAATGTCAGTGCATTATTGCTGATATATGCATAATGTCAGTCCATTATTGCTGATATATGCATAATGTCAGTGCATTATTGCTAATATATGCATATTTTCAGTATATTGGTGCTGATATATGCACAATGTCGGTACATTATTGCTGATATATGCATAATGTCGGTACATTATTGCTAATATATGCATAATGTCAGTGCATTATTGCTGATATATGCATAATGTCAGTGCATTATTGCTAATATATGCATATTTTCAGTACATTATTGCTGATATATGCATAATGTCGGTACATTATTGCTAAAATATGCATAATGTCAGTACATTATTGCTGATATATGCATAATGTCGGTACATTATTGCTAATATATGCATAATGTCAGTACATTATTGCTGATATATGCATAATGTCAGTGCATTATTGCTAATATATGCATAATGTTGGTACATTATTGCTATTATATGCATAATGTCGGTACATTATTGCTAATATATGCATAATGTCAGTACATTATTGCTAATATACGCATATTTTCAGTATATTATTGCTGATATTTGAATAATGTCAGTTAACAGTTGATTTTCTGCATGAAATGCATACACAACATCATATCATGTACAGTCAAAGCAGATAAGAGTTTGAGGATTATCTAAAACTGCTATCTCATTTCAATCATAAACAGCAAAAGTCAATTTTCCAAAAAACAAACTAATAATTTCTCTTGTATTTCTTTTCTAAAATGTCAATCAATACCTGTTCAAAAATGATGATGTAATGTTCTTGGTCCGTTGTACTTGTATATGCAAATTTGATATGATACACACATCTTGTTTGACACATAATATATCTTATAGCAGGGAAGAACCCTGTACGAATAATTTATCACTGTTGTAATGTTTACTGAATGTTTACGACATGGCTCAAATATTAATTGATTTATATCGTATTACAGGTGGTTCTTCCTACGTTTATCTTAGAAAGAAGGTCCTTATTAGAAATGTTTGCAGATTTTATGAGTCATCCAGATATGTTCCTTAGGTAGGAGTAATAATTTCTGCTAAAAAAAAGGCTGGCATTGAAATTTAACAGTTGAAAAAAAAAATGGTGGTTGGTACTTGTATGTGATAACAAATAATGTACTATGCATTTGTTTATTATATCTTGGAATATCAGCATCGGGGAGTATGTTTTCTTGAATCAGTACCAGTGAGTACGAAAAACATAAATTTGATTTAATTGAGTTGCCCAATTTAGAATATTTGAGTTATGGATTACAACAGTTAATCCTGTTGTTCTATTCCCGTCACAGGGCTTTAACCAGTTCCCTCTTTCCATCACGAATTTCCAAAATTGTCCTGTTTATTGTCTGCACTTTTCTTCAGAAGATTAGGACAAAAATAGCCAAATTGTTTGAGTACAAACTGAACTTGACTCAAATTTTGTCTATTGGCTCTAAAATTAGGGTTCATTTCCAGAAATATTGAAGAATATCAGTAAAAAGTGCAGAAAAAGTCTGGTGGTGAAAAGGTTAATACCTAACTATCACATTCCCTGTAAATGTAATTGATACGTTTCACGTGTACATTATTTAACACTTGTCTAAATACCTTGCCCATAGTGTACAGTACATGTAGGTTTGATATCATTATCTTTTCGTTCGTAAACACAAATTTCTTATTTTGTCGTGACTATTGGTTTTTTTTGTTATAATGGATTGAAAATAGCAATAACATGAATGCGCCTAAAGTCATCTGGGAAAAAGTTTTGGAGCCAGCACTTGCTTAAAATTATAACCCTTTGTCCCAGAAATGCATTTTAACTTTTACACATGTAGCAAGACAGTGTTCTACCCAGATATAATTATAACCCACTCTTATGATATTTGAACAGATTAAACCTGGTGTCCCAGGTCGGAGTAGAGTATAAAATGTTGTGAACTTAGAGCTAAACTACTGCTATGTATGACCAGAACGGAGATTTAGTCGACTACCGGAAAGGAATTGTGTTTATCAGCACATGTGAAGAAACCTGTAGATTCGTAATTGGTTGTTGTTAATCAAAAAAACAAAAAATACATTAAAATAAAATGAACTTAATTCTGTATCTACCGGTATATACAATCCGCCCGGAATTTGATTCATGAAATGTAATGTGCTTTATATATTCCCCATGTTTCAGGATTCCTTCGTGTCCAACAGCAGAAACAAGAATGTTAGCTGTATTGGAATATTATCTTTGTTCATTCCATGTTGGTAGAAAGGTAAGTTGGCTCTGAATTGAATGTGTATGTACACGATGAATAATAGGAATAAAATGTCACATTGTTCTTCATACTTTCAAGAAATGGGTCTATGCACAGAAAATAAATACAAAAATTAGAGTTACTTTAATAGACAATTTTTCAAGAATATGAGGTTATTACAAGGATACCTCAAAAAATGCACGAAGACACAAGGTCGATGCGACCTTGTACTGTCTGAGTGCATACTTTAAGTATCCTCATAATAACCTTATTATTATACATCTTATCCTGCTAAGGATACAATATGGGAATGTCGAAATTCAAAATAGTTTAGAACAGAATCAGCAAACTTCTTTGTGTGGAGTCCGGTCAAACCCTGGTGGCAGCCTTGTTTGTTTTTATTATTAGAGGATGCTTACGCACGTAATCATTCCGTATTTGGAATTTGCATTTCCTATTATGGTAGAATGAAAATACCCCGTTGAATACCGCAAAATTACGACACGCTGTAACTTATGGCATTACGGTGACAGATGTATAATAATACTGAATATTGACATTTTGTTTCATCTTTTTTTTTGCATTTTTGACTCCCATGTGCGAAGCACAAAATGGGAGTCTTTGCAGTTAGTGTGTCTGTATGTGTGTATGTGTGTATGTGTGTGTGTATGTGTGTCCGACTGTTCCACTGCTATCTCAAGAACCATACATCGGTTTTTGATGAAACTTGGTGCATAGATGCTCTGGGCCAATGCGCAGATTTGATTAGGTTTTGGTAAAAATCCATGCTCGTTAATTACCTAATTTGCATGATAATTAGCTAATTTTTAGCTGTTCTATGACTGTTCCACTGATATCTAAAGAACCACTCATTGGATTTTGATGAAACTTGGTACATAGATGCTCTGAACATATGCGCAGATTTGATTAA